TACTACTACTGCTAGCTACTACTAGCTACTACGAGCCACTACTACTACTACTGCAACAGCAGCAGCAACAGCGACGTCAACAGCAACAAGACCAGCAGCAGCGGCGGCGGCAGCAGCGTCAGCAATAGCAACATGGACAACCGCTGCAATAAATCGGACATAGCAGCAACTGCTGCTGCGGAAACACCACTGCCAGCATTCACTGCAAAGAACACACCTTCCATCATCACCACCGCCATCATCGTCAAACACAACATGACCGCAACATGGGCCAGCATATTTGTCTTCATCATCGGCAACATGGTGGCCATCATCGTCGTCAGAGAACTAGCCGGGACCAGGAAAACCAGCGACAATAGCTATTGGGTATAGCGTGGTGAAGATGATGTTGAAGCAGAAACTGGGCAGTGCTATTGGCGAGCATGAATCATGACGGTCATCATTGAGTCATCATCATGGTACTGTCGAACAAAGCCCAAACCTGGAATTCTGCAGATCCCGAGCACTGCAACGTTGTAGCCAAGGAGCGTTTGCAGGTTGCAGCGAACTGAAACAGCTGATCCTTGGCTATAGGCGGCTTTCGTGGAACTTGAAGGTGACTACATTCCGTTGGCTCAGGATTCGATGCTCGTTTCAGAAGTCTTGGCTCTTGCAGTCTTCAGAGACTCGGTGTTCGATTGTATGATGATGCAGCAGTGAGATGTATGAGCAATCGGGGTTTGCCAGGGCAGCCCTAATCCTTTCATGAACCAGTCCCCGCCTCTAGGTCTGGGCAGCTACGAACCGAGTGCAAAGTCACGAATCACTCCAGAAGGCAGTCCAGATTGATAATTAGAAGTATTGACATGTATTCAAAATGCTCATCAGCTAGTCTTTCACAGAGGCTTACCCGGTAAAGCCGGAGGGGAGGAGGCACCGGTGCCCCTTCGCGAAAAAGCGTAGGCATGTGCCCTGGTACAGTTTACGGCCAATCGGACACCATAGCAGAACTACGGGAACACGGGAAGTTTCATTCTCCGTGCCAAGCAGATAGCTCGTATGAGAATACCCGACTAGAGGGTCCCTTGCAACTCTATTTTAAATGCCTAAGTTGAGAAGAATCGCGACAATTGTCCAAAGCGGCCACGCCAATTGGCTATGGAAACATGAAGGCAGTAGTTGCGATACGTGAACTACAGTGCATACAGTTCTTTGAACCACTGTATTCAAGCCGCCCGTATGTTGTGTGCTGGTGTATGTATGTATGTATGTATGTATGTATGTATGTATGCATGGATGTATGTATGTATATGTATGTATGTATGTATGCATGTATGTATGTATGTATGTATGTATGTAGAATATATACATGTACATACATGTGTATATATATATGTGGAAATAAGGATAATGTCTGAATGTGTGTATATATATAATAAGTATAATGTATATATATATATGTGTGTGCATAACTACACTTCTGTATACATCTATCTATGTACCCATTTATCTATCATCTATCTACCTATTTACCTACCAATTATGTGTTTGTGTGTGTCTGTGTGTGCGTGTGCGTGTACATGTATGTACACTCATGTATAAATGTATACATACACACGCACATACATGTACATGGTTCTGTAAGCCTACACCGACAATGCAGGGAACTGGACACCAGCACTAACATATCCACAGAATCCCTTTCATGCACATACCATATGTTTTTACACTTGAAGCCGCGCCATTGGTTGGAGCAGAATGCCACTCACGCAGAAGTCTGTGGAGAAGCGCCCGTCCACGACCAAAAGTTTCCTGGGCTGCTGACCCTGAGGTTTAAGACTGTGTGGTTTTAGGGTTAGGGTGAAGCTATGAAACCATACTGCGAGCGGCTTGCTCTATTATACAAATTTTACGATTATTGGTAGGTGCCTCGCACGGTTCGGGCAGAGGTGTGTTCAGTAGTTCGAGTTGGGCGTCGCAGGCTAGGAACTGGCATTGTCATATGCATCCGGCAGCAACTCACGCATTTCCGGAGCCAGACGTGATGATCGTCATAAACATGATGATGATGACGACGGTGATGCTGCAGAGATGAAGCAGATGACTATATCACTGCTGATGCTGATCATGAGTTGCAGTTACCCCATGCGTTCACTTGCTGGCTCGCATCGGGTCTCCGACAATCAAACAACAAGTGCCGACCTTGAAACCCTAGATGATGACCGAGGAACAGCCACTTCACATGACGGTGCTCACAGCAGACATCCTCGTCTTCTTCGATGTTGCCATGCTCTTTGGAATCTAAACATAGCTTCCAGTCAATACCATCCTCGGAGCAGAAGACCTTGAAGTGGACTTCCTCCGTCAGCACTCGGGCATTGAAGGAGAAGCTTGTGAGGTAGAGCGATACAAAAGGCATCATCCAAACGATCCAGCCATCTTGTATTGCAATGGAGTAGGTGTGAAAGTTGTCGTTGTGGGCCAAGGCCTGATATAATCTTACACTGACTAAGAGCTCCCTTCGAAAATGCGACAGCCCAAAGAAACAGACCCTAAACCCCAAACTCTGTGCCTCCAGAAAGCCGGGTTCAGCAACAGCATCACTCCAGTCGTTCTCAGGAGGTCCCAGAAGTAAGGCAATTTGACGCCCATGACCCCAGTAGCTTTCCTTGCCCCGAGGCAGATAGCGTAACTGAGAGCCTTCCGTGAGTTCATTTTGGTTTCATATGAGCTTATTTTCAAGCTTTATCTGAGCCTGAAGGGGGGGACTTAAGTTTTCGAAATGGCTCCTTGAGCTCGAAAAGCGCATCGCCACTAGCTACTCGTCGGTGTGTTGTTGCGGGCCCCTCAGCGTAGGCTTGTAGTAGTCGTTGGACCTCTCGTTCCTCCTCGGAGGAGGCCTCATCCCAATTGCAGATCAAGTCCTCGAGAGAGTTGGCCCAACTATAGATTCGGATAAATTTAAAGGGTTTAGGGTTTAGGGCTTATAGACGGTACTAAGACACAAGGAGGCAGGAAAAGGAGAAGCACCAACAGAACTTGGGTTTCCGCCCTCGTGATTGATCATACGAGGGTGTTGGGTTTAGAGTGCCTGGAATGAGAACCACGACTCACGACTGCTAGTCCTACTTTTGCTGGCAATGTTGCGGTTGCGTGGCCGCGGCCACTTTGATGACGACAGACTACGATGGCAATGGGCAAGACGACAACAGCAACTAGAACAACCACGGTCAAAACATGGCTTTGATTCATTCTGGCCTTGCTTTGGCTCGGAGTGCGGCCTGGCTTGTTCAGAATCGATGAGCCCACATTCCGTAGCACCATGGTAGCATGCAGAGGGGCTCATTACTTACCCCGAAGCTTGCAAGAAGTGCCACACGAGCAGCTACACGTGGCTTCAACAACGCTTAAATGCTGAAGCCCAATACGTTCCAGCACTCGCATGCTATGAGAAACACACAGTTAGTTATAGCTACCCCAGGACCCCATCATCCCGTGCGCAAAGCATCCTGAAGATCCTCGCTGCTGATACAGAGCGCCTCGCTACCGACAATCTCTTCCACCAGTTGTGGGCTCAAACCTGGACGCTTCTTCATGGTCATGGCGGGTTCTGTAAGGATCATGTCCAAAGAGCATCGGCGCAAATCCATGTTGTGGAACCTGTCGGCCAGTTCGAAGATGGCGCAGGCCGTCGTCGGTACCAGCTCGTCTTGTACTGTGCCAGTGCAGAGACGGTGTAACTTGCTCACAGCATACCTAGTTACTAGTTCATGGTTGGGCTAGCATTATATAAAGATTTGAATGTTATTCCTTATTGAGTTTAAGTACCCATAACAATGTGAAAGGTTACCGAACTATGACAAAGATGCTTGTCTGCTAGCACTCCTAGCTCCAAGACGGTTGCAAGGCTCCCTTCCACAGTCCCGAAATGCAAGAACCTCAAGAAAGCTTCTACCGCCGCTGAGGAAAAGTCAGTAATTGTAACTTGGGATTTGGCACCTTCCACAAAATTGTCCTGCTTGACCATATTCTCAAAAACTGGCGAAGCAGTCCCCAGCACAGCGGACAGGACGACGAACTCCCTGCGGCAAATACCCATCTCATTCGGACTCTCGGTACCTTCTGTCTGGTCACCAGCGGGCTCTTCCACGACTACTGTGAAGTCACCAGTACCCCAACAGCGGCCCAGGACGTCCCTCGTAAACTCGGCAAAGCTGTCGTTTTCAACTTTGACTGGGCCCATCTGCGTAGGACTGGATGTGACCAAGCAGACTCATGCAGGAGCTTGGAAGGGGGCCATGCATCCAAGAAGGCTACACAACTTATAAGGGCATCTTCGACAGTGTATGTGAATGTGCCTGTAGCTTCCGGAAACAGGCTACAGCAATGGCGAAGCGGTCGGGTATCCGAAACATAGGTGACACGGGTACACTTGAATCCCCAAAGCCAAACTACTAATACTGATCCTGGTACTGTCTATTGGTACTGGTACTGATACTGGTATGGTACTGGTGCTGGTAGGAATAGTAGCAGTAGCCGTAGCAGTGGCAGTGGTAGTGGCAGTCGCAGTAGCAGTAGTAGTGGCAGTAGCAGTAGCAGTAGCAGTAGCAGTGGGAGTAGGAGGAGGAGGAGTAGTAGTAGTAGTAGTAGTAGTCGTAGTAGTAGTAGTACAGGGTTTGGGCACGAAGTCGCATCGACTGAGATGCTGGACAAATGCTCTCGCTCTTGTCTTGCGGCTGCTACATCGGGACTCGATCCACCAGCGGCTGAGCGTCAAGTCTCCAGTGACTGAGAAGCCGACCCTCCAAGCCCTGAAGTTCCCGAGCGAAAGCTCTCCAGGCATGGAGTTCGGCCCCAACTTCCCCAACTCCAGCTTCAAGCCCCGTCTGGAACTAGAGCGTGAACTGTCGTAGCCTTTTGAGATCACCTACTATGTCGAAACCTATAGAATAAGAGACTACCAGTGCAATCAAGATCAAGAACTACACTTCACTGTCTTGCTGTGACCCTTTACCTTGAACTAAACCCTAAACCCTGAAGCCCTAAAGCCCTCGGAATGCCCCTCCAAGAGGCGACGTGGTCCCCCGAGTATGGGGGATTCGTGACCAAAATGTCAAACTCTGGTAGCTCCAGGGCCTGCACCCAGGTATCTAGTTCTGGGGCCCTGCACATCAGAGTAGAGTTGTGGGGTGCACTATAGTATAGTCTAAGTCTATCGCGACTGTAACGGGAAGGCTTTTACTATTTGTTCAGACGTTTATGTGGGGGTTTCCGAAAATAGGGGACCCTGATATAGCACCCTAAATAGTAGGATCCTCATTATAAAGGACCCCAAATTAGGGTACCCCTAATTTTCGGAAACTCCCATATGAGTACATAAGGAGTGCTTGACGCGTCTCGCTAGTTCGAGGAGGCCAGGCTCTCTTTGGAATACGGTTTCTGTATTGGGATTATGTAAGGCTTGTAATCATAACTCGAAAGACGGGCGCTTTTGATCCTTATATAAGTAATGGGAAACCCCGCACTGAGCAAATTACTTCGAATACTGTTGGATCTTGAGAGCTGGACCTGCGCACACGCGGAAGTAACAGATTACAATGTCGGGATTGGGGGCTCAGAAAGCACGTGACAGAAGATGCGATGCAACAACAACAACAACAGAACCGTGGACATAGGGTCAATGAGTTCGTGGTAACGATCATTCGGCGATGACGAGGCTACGAGGAACATGAACAGATTCCCTGCTTTGAGCTAAAAGCCGTTAGCGGCCCCTGCTCCCCTGATGTCCACGTCCAGACTACCTATACCTATAGTCTCCATTGTAGTTCCTTTTAGGGCTACCTTAGAGGATCCGATTTATAAAAAAAATGTTAAACCGCAAAAAAGGAACTACGATGGGGACTACAAATTATAAGTATGTTCTGGATTCTGTGAGGACTCCCCCTAAGCCCTACGGGACGAACAAATACAAAGCATACGATACCGTCAGTTTTCTTCCGAAACAGTGCGACAAAATGCTGAACAGATGTCATAGCTGGGGAATGTCTGCAAGGCCATCCCCAAAAAACAAAAGCAATAGGGAAATCTTGGACAGCTCCTCTCACAGAGGTCGAGTCGACGGTCTAGTCTTGCCACTTACCCTGAGTCCCAAAAACTCTGTCAGTGGTGGCAGGTTGGGAGATAGAGTGGCTTTGCTTTTAGGGTTTAGGTGTAGGGTTTTTGAGGGGCTTGTCGGGGTGGCGGGGTGTCAACCCCACAACTTCGGATCCTTGTTGTGAGGACCCCAGAACCTTGATTTAATTCTAAGAAACCCCCATGACAACTTAGAACACACTACGGAACCGTTCATAAAATCCTCGGAAACCCTGTCCAATCCTTATCGAAGCCTCGCTAAACCCTAATTACACCCTAAACCCTAAACCCTAAAACCCTAAAACCCTAAACCCTAAACCCTAAAACCCTAAACCCTATAGACCCTAAACCCTAAACCCTACACCCTACACCGCAAAATCCCCACCCCATCGATACCGGGACCTCCCAGGCGGCGTAGCAGTCAACCGGCTGGTTGTAAACGCTGAGAAATCCTGATGGTTAGGGTCTATAGGGTTTAGGGTTTAGGGTTTAGGGTTTGGGGTTTAGGGTTTAGGGTTCAGGGTTCAGGGATTAGGGTTTAGGATTTAGGGTTTAGGCTTCCGGTTGATGGGATTTGTGCTCAGGGTTACAGGTTACAACAAGCGTTGCTATAGAGCTTCCTGTAAGAGGTGATTGCAGCGTTCTAGAAGGTTTAGTGTTCAGGGTCTGGGGCTTCAAGGGTTAGGGTTCGGGTTTCGGGGCTTCGGGGCTTCGTGGTTATACCGGGGGTTGCTGCCCAGAGTGCTGGGTTTAGGCGTGCTCTGTTTTGGGTTTATTGCTTAGGGTTTAGGGTTTAGGGTTTAGGGTTTAGGGTCTAGGTCAAAGCTCACCGAAAGTTGCAAGGGGCTGTTCTAAGTCAGCGTCCCCCTGCCCCGAGGCAGATGGAGATAACCGCAGCCAGTCGATTCCCAAAGGTACGGCTCGCCCCGGATGTAAGGGGAAGTGACCTTATCCTATTTTTTATTGAGACTTTCAGAACTCTTTCAAACATTCATGTCTGAATTTACAAGGCTTCAGAGCTCGGCTGCTTTGTCAGCGGATGCCCCGGAGCAGCGCATGGGCACCGCTGTTCTTTTAAACCGTGAGCCAGCAAAACGCATCAATTCATCTCTTCCGAGGACCACCTCAAGTCGTCCTTGGTTATGCCGCTGTACCTGAGCTTCTGGGCTAGGGTCTTTGTCTTTGAGGGCCCTTGTCCTCGCTGCTGTTGCGGTTAGGGTTGAGGTTTTGCGGGTTACATGAGACATGTGGGGCCCGTTCCTTAACGTCAGTGGAGTGGCACTGAAACCCCAGAATACTGAGGCATACAGTCGCTGGGGCATGCCATGTGGAAACGAAGTAAACTTTGCGAGAGGTGTCGCAACATTCGGACTTCTGCCCGGAATTCCAACCACACATCAGCGCAAACCGTGTTTCATGTTCCGCTGCCCTGAGCGCGACAAGCCTCGCAACTCGAAGCTGAAACCTGACTAGCACTACGTCACTAAGTCACCACAGTGTCATAAAGCCTAGACCCCCTGCTCACATTTAGCAGAGGCACCGCAGCTGCGAGGCCCCACTGCTTCAACAGAGCGAGTACGAAATTCTGAAGGTTCGAAGATGACCAACTGGGTCGAGTCTTTCCCCAGCCGGTGATGATGATGCCTCGAACAGATGAAAGGAGGATCAGGAGTAGTCAGTCAGGAAGTCACGAACTGAACTTATAAAACGAAAGAAAGGTGCAAAGACGGTGATCAATCGAAGTCGAAAACCTTATACTGCTACAGAGAGGGTTAGCAGCAAAACTTTCAGGATTTATAGTGCTGGACAACACGACAATGACAGACACTCGCATGAGAGTATATGCAAGCCATCCGACACGCTCCACAAGCTCTCTAACCTGCGAGCCTGGCCTTGCAACTAAGCTACCCGGCCGAATCTGCCCAGCTTGTTGCGGCAAAGCCGGCCCGATCAAAAGTCAAATAAACAATCAAGAGCTGTAGGACAAAGCCAAGGTACAAGTCGTTCGCTCTGTAGAGCTCAAACGATGCATCAATTCTTCCGAGAGCCACCAGCTCACCTCGGACTCACGAAACCATACATCTTGCACGACCCCGATTGAGGCATGATCCCGCAGTGATGGATGTTCTACCTATCTATTTATGTATATATATATATATCTCTCTCTCTCTCTCTCTATCTATCTATCTCGTTTTCTATTTATTTATCTATCTATCTGTCTATCTCTCTATCTATGTATCTATTTATCTACCCATCCATCTATCTATCCATCTATCTATCCATCTATCTATCCATCTAGCTATCTAAAGGTCTATCTATCTATGTATCTATCTGTCTATCTATCTATCTATCTATCTATCTATCTATCAACCTGTCTATCTATCTGTCAATCGACCTGGTACGATCTATCCTCGATCTCTTGTTTATGTAGGTGTTGCTTCTATGCATATGTTGAACTGTGTATATGTGTATATGTATGTATGTGTGTGTATATGTATATGTATATGTATATGTATATGTATATGTATATGTATATGTATTTGTATTTGTACATGTACATATATATATATATATATACAAAGGCTGCAGTACAGCACACAGAGACAAAGTTGGACAACTGAAATTCTCCGAGGACAAGGCTGTGAGTGAAGGGTCCAGGATACCGGCTTTAGGTTGTAGGGTTTCAGGACTGAGTTTGGATCCGACAAGCGCACAAGTGGCACCCTACACTAATGCCGATCTTGAAGCCGCAGTCGAGATGCTGCATGAAGGGCCGGCCCGTAGGAAAGCTGATGCAAGTCCTGTGCTGCTTAGGACTTAAGAACTACTCCATAGGGTGTGGAGCTGCAGGTCCTCTGGGGCCAGGGATTCTCAGTTCTCCCAGGACATCCTTTGATCCCGGCCCTTCGCGTGCAGTCGAGACTCCAAGATCAATGGGCTTTCCTCACAGAGCCGGCCATAGACTCCTGTATCCATGGCCTCCTGGAAAACCCGCCGTCCAATGGGATGGTCGCCGAGGGAATCCAGCCTGAAAGGGAAGGGTCCAGGATTTAAGCATAAGTGGGCACATCACCATCATGTAAACAAGTTCTACGCAAAAAGACTTGACTAGACAAATCAGAGTGACTAGTGTGAGGAGCAATGATATAAAGTTTCCCCGGCCTTGCTGGGCTTCGTAATTATCGTAACTTTGTCTTGGGGATACACATTCATGCCACCTTGTCTTTTTCCGGCCTGCTATTTAGCTGCAAATTGTTGTGTGGAGGCATGGCTCCCGAAATTACAGGTCACGCATTTCCGGCCTTACTGGCTGCGCTTGAAGCTGTCTATTACCGTTACTTTTGCTGTTGCTAGCGCGGGCGCCTTCACTGGTACTATTGCCATTACTACTACTACTACTACTACTACTACCACCACTACTACTGCGAATATGGCTGCTGCTGTCACTATCACTTTCACCGTTACCACTATTGCTCTTATTGTTACTCGTCTAATTGCTATAAGCTATATAACTTCTACCATTACCAAAGCTTGTTCAGGAAGGCCGCCCTTAGGTACCAGCTCACTCCACCTTTGTGTTCTGGCTTTACCATCCAAACGATCACGTGGTTTAGCAGGCCGCAGTGGCTCGGACATCGCGGTGTCTTTTAGTTTAGGCCGCTTCGCACCATGTCCAGAATTACGACGAATTATCCGATTATCCTAGACCCTCTACACCCTAAACCGTCTGGAATAGCCAAGCAGCATAGCATTGTAGCTCATGATATTTGGGCTGGCACGGGCTGCTGCCATTGTACTGAAAAGGTGCAGGGCCAAAGGCCACTCCTCCCCCTTCCCACAGGCGGCAAGGGTGGCGTTAAAGCCTCCCAAGCTCATCAGGCAAAGACTGGATCATGTTGCTGCAAAATCCAGAATTCATAAATCTGGGTACCTGTATAGTTAAGATAGCAAAAAGCTACCCGACTACAGCACCGACTGCTCGACTGGACCTCGTCTGAATTCATGTTCACCTGAATCTTGTCCAAAGTTCCAGAACATTAACGGCACCCCGGACTCCGTACAGCATAGCCAAACTTCGAAAATGGTTTGACGGCAGAGGAGCTGGTGATACTTGGGCTGATGCGAGCTGTTGGCATAGAGTTGAAGAGGAAAAGAGCCAGCTGCCATTGACCACCCCGCTCAGAGGCGGTGATAGTGGCATTGTAGCCTAGGCTCATCCACAACAAGCCGTCAACATGTCGTGTCCTGGTAGAGCTCAACAACTAATCTAATTAATGTTAAACCATGGTCAACCGCAATGAAAAAAGCTCTGTTCGGAGGCCCGCTGCTAATGACATTGGGACTAACTTCTGCACGAGGCATTTCACTGAAGAAGTGCAAGGCCAACTGCCACTGGCCTGCCTTCTGACATGCACTGATTATCGCACTGTAGCTGATGACAGTCGGCTGCAGGTGTCTCGCATGCAATTCCTCAAAAAGGGATGCTGCCAACTGCCATTTCGCTGCCTTCTCGCAGGCCCCAATGCTCGCAGTATAGCCTGGGCTGGCCGTTTAACAGCTTTCACAAACATTCGTCAACAAGATCCTCTTAGTAAGGGTCCCAGAGGTCTACCTAGAAATCCTAAACACTAAACTACACCCTAAATCCCAACCCCTAACCCCTAAACCCCAAACCCTAACAGTTGCTACCAAGTAGCTGATTACGTCCGGAGCAACTTGGGATCGTGGCATCTCATAGAGCAAGCCTCGGTTCTCCCTGGCTCAGGAAATGGTGATTTAAGCTACTACGGTTTATGATACAAATCCTGCATTACCCATAATTATTTAATAAGGAATATACCATAATTCCCATAGTTTAGGATCCTTAAGGTAATGCGGGATTTATATCACCAACAGTATTTCCCCAATAGATCTGTAAGGGTTCCTTTGAAGCGATCTATAGTAGATAATATGCCTTCTGGGTTCCTGTTAAAGAACCTCACATCAAGTGGTCATAACTAGTTTAGGGTTGCTTTTCAGGGGTTATGTAAGGGTCCTATAAGGGTTTAGGGTTCAGGGTTAAGGCACCTGAATTTGGTAACTCACAAAAAGAAGTTCCTTAACAAGAACCCAGATGCCAAGGCCCAATTGCCACTGCCCGGCCTTTTCGCACGAACTGATGGCAGAATTGAATCCGACAAGATCAGGAGCAACTTTCAAAAGTCTCATGCTGCTGAAGAGAGCCAGAGCAGGTTGCCACTGCTCATTCTTTCCACAAGCACTGATGGTTGCATTGCAGCTGGTTGTATCGATTGGAAGCTTGCTTACTCCCATGTCAGTAAACAGCTGCAAAGCGACCTGCCACTGGCCTCCTGAATCGCAAGCGCAGATAACCGCGCTGAACAAGATCCGATCAGCACGAACTTTGAAGTTCTGCATCGATGAGAACAGATCCAGCGCCCGTTGCCATTGGCCAGCCATGTCGCACGCACGAATTGCTGCGCTGAAGGTAATGACATTAGGCAGGACATCTGTCTGTGGCATGGCATCGAGAAGGGACAAAGCCAGTTCCCACTCACCACCCGCCCCACAGGCACTAATCGCTGCACTGTAGCTAACCACATTGGGTGCAACCTTCGCTCTGGGCATCTCGTGGAAAAGGGAGGCGGCCATGTGCCACCTGCCAGCCTTCTCCAGAGCACTGATTGCAGAGCTGTAGCTGATGACGTTGGGCACGATTTGCGAGTTTTGCAGTGAAGTAAACAATGCCAGCGCTCTCTGCCATTGCTCACTCTTCTCGCAGCAAGTTATTGCAGCGCTATAGCTCACAATGTCCGGCGCAAGCTTTGCACTGGGAATGTCGGAGAACTGCTGCAATGCCAGCTGCCACTGCCTGACAGGGGGTCTCTTTGAGGCTAGCGACTCGGGTAGGATCTGCTCGTTGTGCATGGACACGTGGAAAGTAAACAGAAGCTCGGACTGCATGCAATGCTTGAGAAACGAAATAGCTTCAGAATCTGTATCATCCCCGAAAGCTGGTGATGCTTGCGGCGATTACTTATTGCATGATGGCAATGCCTCTCACGATGCTTATGGTGACCGTGATGCTGATGATGATGGTGATGATGATGATGATGACGATGACGAAAAAGACGTAGATGATCATTATGACGATGTTGCTGCTGTGAGTGATGGTGAGAAGGACAATCGTAATGGTGATAATCTTGATGATGATGATGATTTTGATGATGATGATTTTGATGATGATGATGATGATGATAAAGACGATCACGATGGTAAACATCAACATGAAGGATAAGATTATGATGACGACGACGATGATGATGATGATGGTGATGAAGATGATGATCGGAGGCGATGCTGATATTCATGGTTCAAAATAGCGATGCAATCGCCACTGTAGCTATATCATGGGGTGATAGTGTGCAGAACTGGTCGTTGTGGATGTGGTGATGGTGTTGCTCGAAGTCTGGAGGTGAAATCACAGATGCAGACACGTTAATTAGTTGAGGCCTCCCTTTCTCCAAAGCACTAACCGTGGCATTGTAGACGATGATGTCTGGCTGCAGGTTGCAATCCTGTAGGCCGGCGAACCTTCAGCCGCAAAGCTCCACAAGCCATTCGATTCCCAGTCGGGTTCATGAGGTCGAAATTCGTGCAGTTTGCCCGCTACAAAGCTTACGAGGCCATAATTATCCCGGCAAGCCTGCATAGTAGAATAAATTCAACCAAACGCCAACGGGCGATGTCAAGTCTGAAACCCACGCAAGTGGCAAAGCCAGGGACGACTGCCACAACTTCGCGGCTGTGCAGGCGCTGATGCCTGCGGTGGATTGGCGAGTGGGACCAACAAACAAACCCTATGAATGCCGAAGTCACCTTGGGCAAGGAAGTTGGCTTCAGGGTCTTTCGGTCGGTGTGCGCATCATCCTCTTTCCAGCTGCCTTGAGTTAGCAGTGCCTTCTGAAAAATAGGATGTATCCTGTACATCCTATCAACCTATCAACCCTTTTGTGAAGGCAGTACTTGCACAAACACACCCAACAATCCGAAAGCACACCGACAAAAAAGCCAGAGGCCACAGCAGTTGCAGATCGAAGAACCCGTGTTTAGGCCCTCCCCCCCCCCCCCACAATGGACAGCTGTCCCTCCGGAGTCTGCGGCTCTCGTACTGAATATGCCTACTCCCAGGCTATTCGACGACTTTCCAGCTCTCCAAAATCAACCCAGCTCGGGCCTGCGGTGAAGTGAGCCAGGCCCAACGAAACCCTTGCTTCAACACGTAGGACATCGAGGACCTTCTCCAGTGCAGATGATTCCGGGCTTCATTTTCCTCTGCTAGATTCTAATTCCTCTACTACTACGACCACTACGACTACTACTACTGCTGCCGCTGCTACTACTCCTGCTACCGCCGCCACCACCACCACCACCACCACCACCACCACCACACCACCAGCACCACCAGCACCACCAGCACCACCACGACCACGACCACGACCACGACCACGACCACCACCAGCACCACCA